AGAGAAATCATTACTGACTCTACAGAAATTAAAAAGTTTTCAAGAAAAAAATAAATTAAAAATAAATAAAAATAAAAAGTTTTCAAGGAAATACTATAAACAAGTTCATGTTATCAAATCACACAACTTAGATGAAATGGATAAATTCCTAGAAAAACATACATTTCTACAATTGACTCAAGAAATTAGAAAATCTGAACAGATATTTTAAAAAATTACTAGTTAAATCTTCACAGAAAGAAAAGCCCAGATGCAAAAACATTTAAAGAAAAACCATATTTATTCTCCACAAATTCTTCCATTAAATAGAAAAAGACATACTTTCCAATTTATTCTGTAAGATGAGCACCAAAGCCAAAGACATTACAAGAAAAAAAAAACAATTTTCATGAATAGACATAAAATTCATCAACAAAATAATAACAAAAAATAATCCCATGATATATGAAGAGAATTATATACCATGACCAAGCAGCTTATATCCCAAGAACCTAAGGTGGTTTAGTATTTGAAAATAAAGAAATATAGGATATATTAATAAAGAGAAAAAACTACATGATAATCTCAAGGGACACAAAAAAAAAATCTGACAAAATCCATGATTAAAACTTTCAATGAACTAGGAATAGAAGGAAATTTCCTGAACGTGATAAAGGGCACCTATAAAAAACCTACTGCTAACATCATAATAGTGAAAGGCTAAATGCTTTAAGACTAGGACCAATGCAAGCATGCTCACTCTTGCCTGTCTGGTTGCTATTCAACACTGTGCTAGAGGTTCTAGTCACTGTAGCTGGCAAGAAAGTGAAGTAAAAGGCATCCTCACTAAAAAAAGAGAGGTAAAAATACCTCTATTTATGGACAGCATAATCCAGTATGGTTAAAAAAAAATCCCTAAAGAATCCATAAAACCACTAGTAGAACTCACAATAAGTTCAGCAAGGTCATAGGAGACAAGACCAATTTAAAAAAAACAAAACTGTATTTCTAAATGTTAGCAATGAACAACACAAAAATGAAATTAAGAAAATAATAAATACCATTCACAACAGCATATAAAGAATAAGATACTTAGGAATAAATTTAGCCAAGGAAGCACAAGGCTTATTTATTGAAAGACCATACACTATACTAAGAGAAGTTTAAGAAGATTAAATACAATGAAATATTGTTCAGCCATAAAAAAAGGAACAAAATCATGCCATTTGTTACAATATGGATGACTATGGATGCCATTATGCTAAGTGAAATAAGTCAGATACAGAAAGACAAATACCATACAACCTCACCTATATGTGGAATCTAAAAAGTCACATTCTAAGAAGCAAGGAGTAGAACTCCAGAAGTTAGGAAATGGCAGAAATGGGGAAACACTAGTCAAAGAGTACAAACTTCCAGTTTTAAGACAAATAAGTTATAGAGATCTAATATATAACATAGTGACTATAATGAATACTACAAGTGTGAAATTTGTTAATACAGAATCTCTAAAGTAGACTTACCACATACACATACAAAGGTAATTATAAGGTGATGAATATGCTAGTTAGCTTGACTGCGGTAATCACTTCACAATATATACATATATCAAATCATCATGTTGAATATCTTAAATACAATATATCTGTATTTATTTGTATCTATATTTGATTTATTTATACCTTAATAAATCTGGGGGGAGGGTACATTTCAAATATACTAGAAAGTTTTCTCACACTCCCCCAAGTGTATAGCTCCCAACAGTAACCACCAGTCTGACTGCTGTCAGCATACATTAATCAAGCCTGTCTTGGAATTTCATATAAATGGAATTATTCAGTGGTCTTCTTTTGGTATGGAGACTCATCCATACTGTTGCTTGCTATTGCATGTATCAGCATTTAATTCTTTTTCATTACCGTGTGGTTATTCCACTGTATGAATATAATATTCTATTTTTTGTTATAGTTGAAATACAGTGTTTCATTAGTTGCAGGCGTACATATAATTATTCTTAATGAACATCTGGGTAGTTCAGATATGGTACTATTTTGAAGGAAGCTGCTGTGACATTTGAAAAAAATAATCGGAGAAACATTTCATTCTCATGGATTGGAAGAATCACTAATGTTAAGATGGCAATTTTCCCCAAATTGAGCTAAAGATTTGATACAATCTCTAACAAAATCCAAGTAGACTTTCTCTTTTTTTCCAGACACTGACAGGCTGATCTTAAAATTTATATGTAAGTGCAAAGGCCTAAGAACCAAAACATTCTGGAAAAGGAAGAACAAACTGAAGAACTAATACAGTTCCAAATTTCAAAACTTATAATAAAGCTGTAATAATCAAGACAGTATGGCACTAATATAAAGGTAGACATGACTTATCAGCAGAATAGAATTGAGATTACAGATGGAAAAAAATTACATTTTTTGTCAACTGATTTTCAACAAAGGTGCCAAAGCAATTCAGTGGGGAAAAATATTCTTTCATTTCCACAAATGTGGAATAGTGAATTTTGACCCTCACCTCACCTCATACATGAAAATTAACTCAAAATGGATAATAGACTTAAATGTAATATATAAAACTACAAGACAGAAGAAAACTAGAGATCTTCATGACCCTGGTTTAGGCAAAGATTAGCTCTAATACCACATGCATGATTCATAAATGAAACAGTTAATAAACTGAATTTTATCAAAATCAAAACCTTTTTTACTTCAAAAAGAAAATTATAAAAATAAAAGGACAGGCATTTCACCAAGAATGTACAAATGGTTAATAAGCACATGAAAAGATGCCAACATCATTAGTCATGAGAGAAATGCAAAATTAAAACCACACTGAGGTATAGACATCCCAGCTTTTCAGAAGCTTACATTATGCCACTTCCCTTTTATAAAAAGACCTACATTAGTATGTTTTTGCTAACCAAAGAAAATCTAAAGATTTTCACTTTTACAAAAAAAAAAAAAAAAGGTGAAAAGCAGAAATAATTGTCGGTGAAGGGGCAGCATGCATATCACACTGAGTGGCAAGGGTGGCCATTGCAAGCTCCTTCTCCAGGAACTACATTCAGTATCTCAGCATCAAGCTAGTGCAGCTCTGAACTCTGTGAGCATCTGTGCTTTATCTCAATTTATTTTGTGCATCCATTTGCAAGATATGTCCTAAAGTATCAGAAAAGCCGCAGGGAGATTATTTTTTGGGTCTGGGAAGACTCAGAAAATTTTCCACTTAAATTAATCATAATTGCTTCTTTGCTTTACAATAACATTTCAGCTTGTGAAAGGTTTAACAGGAATGTTCTACTTTCAGGGGTACCTGGGTGACTCAGGTGGTTAAGTGTCTGCCTTCAGCTCACATCATCATCCCAGTGTCCTGAGATCCTGCCAAGCATCAGGCTCCCTGCTCAGCCAGGAGCCTGCTACTCCCTCTCCCTCTGCTGTTCTCCCTGCTTGAGGGCTCAGAATCTCTCTCTCTCTCTCTCTATATATATATATATATATATATATATCAAATAAATAAATAAAATCTTTAAAAAAAAAAAGGAATGTTCTACTTTCAGATAGAGGGGGAACTCTCTATTACCACTGACTAAATCTGAGAGCATAGACTGTACCAAACACTGTCAAGATTGTGTTGCAACTGAACTCTCACACATTGGTGACAGGAATGTAAAATGATATAAACCACTCTGGAAAACGCTTTACCAATGTCTTTAGAAGTTACACATACACCAGTCATATGACCTAATCATTCCACTTATATTTACCCAAGAGAAATGAAAGCATATGTCCAAAGATCTCTCTGCGAACTTTCATAGCAGCTTTATTTGGAATAATCAAAACTATAGGAAAAAAACCAAATGCGTATCAACAGAAATGTGCTATTTCCATACAATGGAATACTGCTCAGCAATAAAAAGGAATGAACTATCAATACACACAACACACAACGTAGATCTCAAAATATTTATACTGAGTGAAAGAAGCTAGACCAAAGAGAGAACATAATTATATGATGCCATTTACATAAAGCTCTAGAAAAATACAGGCTAATCAACAGTGACAGAAAGCAGATCAGCAGTTGCCTTGAGATGAAAGTAAGGGATGTGAAGTAGCCAGAGGAAGAGATTACAAAGATGACCAAAGAAAATACTAGTGATGATAAATATGTTCATTGTATTTGACACCAGTCAAAACTTCTCAATGTGCACACTTTAGATAAATTCAGTTTGTCGCATGTTGATTATACATTAATAGAGCTGAACTCAGGACATAAAGAGAAAACAACAAAAGAACCTGTTGTTAGGTAGTTATTACAGTTCTCCAGGCAAGAGGTAGTAGTGGCTTAGACTGGGATGGAACCTATAGAGGTGGAAATGTGACTAGATAACTTTAAAGTTTATTAGAATACACAATTGTCAAACTTTGTTGATGAAACAGATATTGGGAGTTGAAGGAAAGGAAGCAGTCAAGGACAACTTTTATTTTGGTGTAAGCAACTGAGCAAATAGTAGTGTCATTAACTAAAATGAGGAAGACTGGGGTAGGATTACAGAGAGTCAAGTTTCTCACCATGATTACTAAGAGTGATTCAAACTGGTTTTACAAGTTAAATGGATTTTAAAACAATGAACTGGGATTTACATACAGATAGAAAATAAAAGTGGGGCACTGATCAACTACCGTAAGAAAAATAAATTAATATGTTTATGATACAGAAAATGAACTAGTTATTCATGGACATTATAAAACAAATGCAAAGCACTTTGGCTCAAAATATTTTTTTCAACATATTTTTTAAATATATTAATGAAAGGCAGATGTACACATTAGAAAATAATTACTTAAAATTATTTTAATTAAATGCTACATTTGACTTTTATTTTTCTCCAGAAGTATTACTTAGATTTGTCTATATTAAAAAAATTTTTTTTCATTAATATTGAATTAACAACTCAAAGAAAGAAAGCTGGAGCTTCCTTATTTCCTTCAAAAATCTTTGCTTACCTGTTTAATCTTTCAAATAATGACCCATACTGTGCTGTTTTATATGATGGACTGAGAACATCTTGATTTTCATTTAATTTGGAGACCAAGGAATTAGAATAATTAACTTTACTAAGCTGAAAAAGAAAAAAAGAACCTGCCAAAATGGTAAAGGTATATGGATTTAAATTACATACCATAAAATGCCATCTAAGTGGATATCTATATGCAAAAAAAAAATAAATTTACTAGCTTAAAAGAAAGTAATTGTCTTTATTGAAAACAAAACAAATATGCTAACAGTGAAAGCAAGATCAGTATTTAAATGATTGTTAAAATAACAGAACTGATACTATGATTGATACCATTTCCTCAGAGCTTAAAAATATATTTATACATATAAATATATATAAATACCCAGGACACCTGGATCTTGAGCAAATGATCTCTGACAGAAAATAATTTTCCCCCAAAAAACAGTTGTATTTATCTCAGTTTTATCCATTTACTGAGTAATTTTAGAACACTCTTTTAATCTTTCCAAATATCAATTATCACTGAGTGCAAAATGGGGAACCTATGGAAAGACTTGTGGAAAACAGATGAGGTAATCCATTTCTTAATTTGTAAGGAACCACATAAAACGTAAGATATTATAGTGGCCCAACACTAATCTATCCAGTAATAATAATTTATATCTGTAGCATATTCTATTTATTAGCCATGAAACAGAAATGAGAAGTCCAAAGACAATCAATGACACAAAGTTGGAAAAAAAGAAAGGAAGACAGAAAGAGATACTGAAAGTCTTAGAAAAAAGGGAGAGAGTCTAAAGTCAGGGAGAGCTGGAAATAAAGTATGGTAATACACTTCTTATCAGGCACAGAGAACAGTGACAGAGGTGTAGAGACAAAGTCATCCCGTGAAGTGACAAATCATAAGAGAAGAGAATACTCACTCAGCATATGCTGAGTGAAGTAAGTCAATCGGAAAAGGACAATCATATGGTTTCACTCATGCAGGGAATATAAAATATAGTGAAAAGGATTATAGGAGAAAGGAGAGAAAATGAGTGGGAAAAATTTGAGAGGGTGACGAAACATGTAAGACTCCTAAATCTGGGAAAGGAACGAAGTAGAAGGGGAGGTGGGCGGGGGGATGGGGTGACAGGCACTGAGGGGGGCACTTGATGGGATGAGCACTGGGTGTTATACTACATGATGGCAAATCGAACTCCAATAAAATATATAATACTATATGTTGGCTCAATACTACTTCTCTAGGGATCAGTGAGCCGCAGCCCACCTTTTCTTCTAACCTGTTTTTTCAACTCATTCTCTTTTATAGTTTCATTTTAATTTTCACTTTTCTTGAAATCCCTCCAAATGAGCAATTAACACTTCTCTAATACTTCATAATGTGACACTATGCCTTCGACAGGTACTTTCACCTCTCTTTTTAATTTTCTCTTCTGTGTATTAAGTATAACATTATTTACCCCTCCAAAGATAATCAATCACTATCCTGCAGTCAAAAATAGGAGATTATTTAAGTTACAGAGATTACAGAGTTACATTCTCTATCCTATAAACTACCTAATAGGATTAAAATTCTGATCTTATAAAATACAAACTGAATAACAAATGTCTATCATTGTATCATTCCAAAGTTAATGGGTCCTTAAATTAATATGGCTAACATCTATCACTAGAATATACTTTATCGTCTCTGTAAAATAGAAAATATACTTTAATACTTAATAATATTGAATTATATCAATATCATTATATATTATATATAATGTACCATCTGTAACTATAACTTATAAAATTACAATTATAAATTATAATCATTTATAAATGACAAATACATAAGTATGGCATAAAACCAATGCATACTAAAATGGGAGAAATTCAAAACTATTCCCATTAATAAGACATCATGATTATATAACCATTTTCCCCACTACCATTATATATTAGTACAATAATCATAAATTTATTTTTAACTCTATATAATCTAATAAAATGACTATTTTTTATAGTCTATGGTAGATTTCAGAATTTTAAAATCTGGATGTTTTTGGATTTTTAACTTTAGAGAATACAATGACTAAACAATATTTTAGCCATACATATCTCTATCTATACAAACATATTTGTATAGTTTTATCAAATGCATATAACCAGTTATCATCTGTCAAATCATAAGAAGAATCAAGCCACCACAACTCATACTTTTTTTTTTAATTTTTATTTATTTATGATAGTCAGAGAGAGAGAGAGAGAGAGAGGCACAGAGACATAGGCAGAGGGAGAAGCAGGCTCCATGCACCGGGAGCCCGACGTGGGATTCGATCCCGGGTCTCCAGGATCGCGCCCTGGGCCAAAGGCAGGCGCCAAACCGCTGCGCCACCCAGGGATCCCTCACAACTCATACTTTAATGGACTACCATGACGTAATGGAAATTATACACTACTATACACAGGAACCTTTCCGTATCATGCCTCCTGGGCTACCATGACATCACCAACTAGTTATTTACTGTGATTATATCATTAATTATAACATAAACACACTGAACTATTTTCAATTTCACTATCAGTAATTTTACAAAAGGATGATGATTTCAAAGACATTTAAAGAACATCCCATATAAATAATAGTGAAAGGGAATATAAGGGAAGGGAGAAGAAATGTGTGGGAAATATCAGAAAGGGAGACAGAACATAAAGACTCCTAACTCTGGGAAACGAACTAGGGGTGGTGGAAGGGGAGGAGGGCGGGGGGTGGGGGTGAATGGGTGACGGGCACTAAGGGGGGCACTTGACGGGATGAGCACTGGGTGTTATGTTATGTTGGTAAATTGAACAACAATAAAAAATAATTTTATTATAAAAAAAATAAAGAACATTCCAGTTTTTGGATTCATAATCTTCTACAGAGCAGACAATCCAACTTTGACCAAAGAGGAATTATTATACTTAACAGATATCCTAATTTGGCTATATCTATAGTAATTCACAACTAGTATTTTTTAAATCCATGAGAAAAAAAGAGCATATCATAAAATACAATGATATAAAATGCTAAGACCAGTGATTCAAATGTACCTACTAATTCAACTTTTTCTCATATACAACTTTCTGAGGACTAGATGCTATTCTGAGAATGAAATTTTGTTTTGTAGTATTTCTATTAGAGATAATTCTGCTGAAAAAGATGGTTGAAGTGAAACTGCAATTTTCTATTCTGTTATACTGAGGGCTGAACATGAAAAGAAGATACAACCATTTGCTCAGGTAAAATATATAAACTAGAGAAGAAAATCAAAATAGGAGTGAAAAGGTCATGGACTGCAGAAAAAGTTTCAAGGAAAAGCTAGTCATCAATAATTCACAGGACTTATGAAGACAAGAGAGGCTATCAACTAGAATTATATTGAAGAGCTCCTTTCCATCTGCCTCTCTCACTACTGGTATCCTCAACCTCCTAGCTTCATGCCATCTCCAAATGACAAGAAACCTGAGATTCACTGACCCACAATTCAGGTAAAAAGATTTCCAAGAGATTTTTATTATCATTGTCATTCTCTGATGCAGTTTAATTTTGGCAATTCAAAGCAAAGAAAGTATAATTAATAATATAACACTGGACCTGGAATGCCTGGGTGGCACAGTCTGACTCTTGGTTTTGGCCCAGGTCATGATCTCCATCTCTGAGAATGCTCAGCACAGAGTCTGCTTAAGATTCTCTCTCCCCTATCCTTACTCCTCCCAGGTCTCTGCATATACTGGCTCTCTTTCTCTCTCTCTAAAATAAAAAAATAAATCTTTTTAAAAATATAACATAGCATTAGACATTAAAATTTGAAGGTTTAATCACAATCTATATGTTTTCTAATTTATTAAAATCACTAAAAAAAATCATTTCCAATACATTGAAAGAAACTCTTGGGATCAGTGTAAATGTTGAAAATCACAATATGATATAAAATCATATGGCCACTGTGCTAGAAGGATGAATTTCTCAAGGATCACATGAACCCAAAGCAGAAATTTCCAAATGAATTATCTTATTCAGCTCATCAGTAACAACTGTTATGTACACACAGGCCTAATCTACATTACCAGAACTCCAAAGCATTTCTCATAAGCAATCAGTTAAAATATTCTTAAGTTCTATATATTAAAAATTCCAAAAATAATTTTAAAGACTGTAAAAAAAACTTTTAAAGAATAATTTTCCCTGATATTTGAAAAAATTTGTATCATTTGGTAGCATGCCACAACAGTTAGAGTAACTTAAAAAAATTTTTAAGTCTCACCTGAACTGGGGCAAGTTGTTTCTTGCTGCCTTGTCTTTAATAATGTATAAAAATGAAGAGAAAAATTTAAGGTTAAAAAAAGCTGGCAAAAAATTTGACTATCTTTTTATATACATTTAAAAGTTATACTATTCTATACAAATACACGAAAATATATAGAACTCTAAATCATTCTTAAATTTTATAAAAATTGTATCATTACTAGAGAAACATTTTGAGAATAAGGAAAGTCAAACTATGCATACAAAACATTTAATGTGGCCATTAGCTCATTTGATAAAAGTCTTAATAACTAAATAATACTGGCAACAAACAAAACCTAGAGCTAGAAGACTAAGTTCTCTGTACAAATTTCTAATGAATAAAACAATACTGATGATGACTTGTTTAAATACCTAATTTCCAACCTTGCTAAAACCTACCTGTTTTCTATATCATCAATGCAGAGGTTAGATGGTACACAGTCAGGTGACATTGGAAGTTCTAAATTATGCTTTCTTAGGGGCATTTTTATGTCTCTACACATATTCACATGGATTGGTTTTCTCACAGTTTCTATAATGAAAAAATTATAATTAAAAACCTTTTAAAAGCAATGTTTAATATACAATGTTCATTAAATTAGAAATTTCCTAAAACTACCTATAATCCATATATGCTAGAAGTCATTACAGTACTAAAAACTATCACAGATAACTCAAATCATCTTTTTCATCCTCTTATATATTCCTCATGAAAGGAGCTATACTGATTCAGCTCTATTTTTTTTCTTCCTCCAAGATTTCCTTGAGCCCCAGACTATAGCGCATGCTATGTTATACATGCCCATAGTACTACATATATTCTCTATTATAGCACTTACCATAATGTACTTAATTCTATCTCTCTTACTAGATTTTTAAACTATGGAAACAGAAGCCTTTTCTCTCCTTATACAAGATGTATTACTCTTCGGTCTGCTCAGTACAGGAAAGTATTTCTCCTTTTCTGATAATGCTTTTTACACACATACCAACTATACAGTTCTTTTTTTTAAGATTTTATATTTTATTCATTTGAGAAAGAGAGAGACAGAGCAAGACGGAAAAGAAGAAAGAATCTGAAGCTGACTGACTTTGGGCTGAGCACAGAGCCCATGTGGGGCTTAATCCCAAAACTGCAAGATCATGACCTGAGGTGAAACCACGAGTTGGATGTTTAGCCAAATGAGCCACCGAGGAGCCTCAAGTATACAGTTCTAATAGAGAACTTTCTATCTTCTTATAAAACCCTGTCTCTAGAAAAAATAATTGATTTAAGAGCAGCATCCAATCCAAGATGAATCAATGATAGGATCACATCCTTGTAGTTATAAATAACTGTTCCAGTGCTAGGACCTGGCACCAGTAGGGTAAGGTAATATGCTTCCAATAAAATTTAAAAACTCCAAACCAAAGAAATAACTCTCAGTGTTTTTCTTGTGGCAAAATGGGAGAGATGAGGAATACTAGTTTTTTAAGGTCGTATTTTAAGCCTGAATGAAAAAGATAATCTGAGTGAACAAAGTTAATATCTAAAGTGCGAAGAAAATCTTGGTGGTATTTAAGTCCCCAATTCAGTCCCTCAGGCCCAGTTGCACCATTGCCCTTCCTTTTAGCTAAGTGTCTTAGTCCATTCAGGCTGCTCTAACACAATACCATAGACTGGGTGGTTATAAACAACAGAAATTTATTTCTCAGTCTGTATGCCAGGCAGTCCAAGATCAAAGTGCTCTCAGATTCAGGGTCTGGGGAGAGCCTGTGTCCTGGTTCATAGACAGTTGTCTTCTCCCTGTGTCCTCACACAGTGAAAGGAGCAAACAGAGCTCTCTGGGGTCTCTTTATAAAAGCACTAATTCCATTCATGAGGGCTCCACCATCATGACCTAACCACCTCCTAACACCAACATTAATAAACTTTTGCTTTTGTAAGCAAGGAAAAATATCTTCTTCCTTTATCTTTCTAAATTCTCACCTAGGGATTCTATAACAAAAGATAGATTAATAAAATACTTACCAATTTATTTAGTATCAATTTTAAATGGAAAAATTTTTAAGGAAATGGAGACTCAAAGAAGTGTTTAAACCTGAGCATTTTAATGCTAGGTTTGATGAAGAGTAAACTTTTACTCTTCCTCCTACTTAGTAGGAAAATGTGATCAAACAAAAAAGGGTATGAACTAAGTATAGCCAACTGGAAGAAACAGCAAGGCTTACTTGTTTAGAATCTACTCGGTGTCCCTCTGTCTTGGAGACAAAGATGCTCCTTTCCTCCAGGTATAGGGAGGACACTTCTCACATGAGAATCTTTCCTGCACATGCTGCTTCTCCAATTCCTTCTGCTTAAAATCTTTAGTATGCCAATGTGCTTTATTTTTGGGACAGTGTGTCCTGACCCCATCACTTTCTATTCTATTCCCAGCATCCAATACACTACATACGGGAGCACTCAATAAACAGGTTGAATGTAAAAATGAAAAGAAAGTGAAGAAGAAAGGGAATATACAAAGGTAAATACATCATTGGACAACCTCATAAAAAGGAGTGAAATCTCCTGTCTTACAACACACACAAAACTCAAATGGATTAAAGAGTTGAATGTAAGACCTAAAACAATAAAACTAGAAGAAAACAAGGGGTAAGTTCCTTGACATCAGTCTTGGGAATGATTTTTTGGATTTCATACTAAAAGCAAAGACAACAAAAGCAAAAACAAATGTAAAACCACACCAAACTAAAAATCTGCATAGTAAAGAAAAAATCATTACCAAAATGAAAGACAAATTATGGAATGTGACAAAATATTTGTAAATCATATATGTGATAAGGTTCAAACTGCAAAATATATAATGAACTTATACAACTCAGCAAAAAAAGGAGAATCTAATTTTATAAATGGGCAGTGAAAATGAACAGACATTTTTCCAAAGAAGACATACAAATGAAAAAAAAAAAAAGAAGACATACAAATGGCCAACAAGAACATGAAAAAATGTTCATCACTAATCATCAGGGAAATGCAAATCCAAACCACAGTGAGATATCATCTCATACCTGTTAGAATGACTATCATCAAAAAGGCAAGAGATAACAAGTGTTGGCAAGGATGTGGAAAAAGGGAACCCTTGTGCACAGTTGACAGGAATGCAAATAGGCAGAGCTACTATGGAGAACATAATACATGTTCCTCAAAAAATTAAAAGTAGAACTACACGATTCAGCATTCCCACTTCTGAATATATATCCAAAGGAAATGAAAACAGAATCATAAGGAGATATCTATACTCTCATGTCCCATGTTCAATGCACAATGGGCAAGATATGGAAACAACATCAATGTCTGTCAATGGTGATTGGATAAAGATGATATGAGATATATACATATGATGAAATATTCTTCAACCATGAAAATTAAGGAAATCCTGCCATTTATGACAGCTTGTATGGACCTTAAAGGCATTATGTTGACTGAAACAAGCTAGAGAAAGACAAATAATGCATGGTATCACTTATATGTGGAATCTAAAAAAATAAAGTCAACCTCATAGAAACGGAGTAGAAAAGTGGTTGCCAGGGACTGGGGATGAGAGAGTAGAGGAAATACAGGTTGGAAACAGGTCAGACTTTAGCTGTAAGATGAATAAGGTCTGAGAATCTAATGTAGAACGCCATGATTGTGGCTGATAACACTGTATTACATAAGCAAAGAAAAAGAAGGTAAATACATCAAACAGATTTACAACAAAAACTTTTATTCCTTAAAGTCCATAAATAATGTATTTACATCTAAAGTATAAGTTTACTTGTTTGTGTAAACTGCCAACTGCAGTAAGGAACACAAATGGTAGAGAAAGGAAAAGAGGAGATACTAACAGTAATTATGATCAAGTTCTAGCCCTTCTTTACGAACTTGTTTCTTAAGCTCTCATTTTAGCACTTATTTTAAAAATTACATATCAGACACAAGTTCCCTTGAGAGAAAAAAATACTCTGACTAAACTTTTATTTACTTGAAGACTCAAAGTACAGGCAAAAAAGAACTTTATTTTGAAGTATTAGACTACTATAGTTAATTTTCCAAGAATGCCTAAGAAATTATTCAAGTTCTGATGTAGGGGGCACCTGCGTGGCTCAATGGTTGAGTATCTGCCTTTGACTCAGGTCCCGATCCTGGGGTCCTGGGATGGAGTCCCACATTGGGCTCCTCACCGGGAGCCTGCTTCTCCCTCTGCCTATGTCTCTTTCTCTGTGTCTCCCATGAATAAATAAATAAAATCTTTTTTAAAAAAGTTCTGATATAAGAAACTAATCATTGAGGCAAAAATCTACTTCACTGCCTCCTTTCAAACAAATTCTCTAAATACTTTAAGACAATAAGAACATTTATTCCCTTCTTTTTAGTTAAACATTGTAACTATCTGCTCAGGTAGATTAATGTAGTAACTAAAATAACTGCAATAATAAAAAATAAATAAATAAATAAATAAATAAATAAATAAATAATAAATAAATAAAATAACTGCAATATAGTAACTCTGACCATACCTTATAAAATTAATTTTATATAACACACAACTTAAAAATAAAAAGATTAAGCAACAAAAGATTTTTAAGCAGAGTAACAATGGTATAATTTAAGAAGGAAACCCCTCTTAAAATTAATTTACTTTCCAAATCCTTTGAGCTCCAAAATTACAAATTTATTAAAAAAACTGAACACTACAATCACATTAGAGTCAAAACAAAATGCTAATGGAAAGACTTACCAGGTGTTTTCTTCTGGCAAGATATGTGATTTACCATATATAGGTTAAGAAGGTCTAAACTGACAGTGGAATTTTTGACAGGGGATGAAACCCCCAGTAATTTCATTTTTGATTTTAACCTTTTCTTTTCAAAATATTCCTAAAATAGTTAAAAATAAAAGTTATTATAAGAACCATATGGTTTTAGGCAGAATCATAAAAAATAAAAAAGCAATAATGCTATTTAATAATTGACTTGACATTTTTATATTTTTGACATCCCCTGTCTATGTTTACATGTAAATTAAAATCAATCATGACGACACAGTTTGCTTAAAGACTTAATTTCACAGCCTCTTATAATCTTTTTTGGTAAATGTACTACCTTTAAAATATACTTTTATAAAGCCATTACTAGGTATCAAAAGATTAAAAACTATCTGAAATGTAAAGTTTTTTAAAAATTTCATAAATCTGACAAGTTAAAAACTTGTTTTTCTACAGAGTATGTTATTCTTCAAATATAAAAAGCCTTAAAGATATGCACAGCTGAGTACCATTAAAAGTCAACTGAAATGAGAAGAGGACAAGAAAAAGAAGCTGTGTGACTCTAGTCAAAGTCAATTTCCTTTATTATCCTCCCATGACTCCTACTTTGTCATTAACAAGAGCTGTACTATTGAGTGGATTGAGAACTGAATGAGACAAGAGTGAAGAGGTATAGCAGGAAAGGGAAAGGATCCAGAGAGGGCTTTACTTGCTTTAATAGGGGATAACTGAGTATGTTTGAATATCAATGGAAAGCCTCCAGTTGACAGTGACTGGTTAAAGATACAAGAAAAAGAAGTAACTGATGCAGTGAAGACCTTGAGAAAATTGGAATCCAGACTACAGATAGAAGGACCTTCCTTTGACTAGAGGAAACTACTTCCATTGTCCCAAAGGGAAAGAGAAGGTTGGAGAAGATTTAAAATAGTTTCCAGAACTAGTAGTAGATATCTGAGATAATTCTCACCTGATAGCTTCTATTTCTTCAAAATACAAGACAAAGTCATCTAATAAGTATGAAGAGACTAGAAACAGAGTTGAAGAGTGGTTTAAGGAGGGCATTGACATTTCAATGGAAGGTATGACATTTTCAAATAGGAAAGTGGCATAACTAGAGATCAACACTTCAGGGAAGGTCCGTATGTCTTTCCCTTGCTCATAAATATTCACAAGAATGATCCAGAGTTAGACTACTTAAAAAAGAAAACTAGAGACAGATTATGTTTATAGTTATTCACTGAGTGCCTATGTTATTGCTTGACACAATTTAGGTGTAGGAGATACAAAATGAACAAAAGTAATAAAATCCCTCTTCTGATGAATATATGTTAATGAAGGTGAGGGAGAACAGAGGAAACAAGTTTATAAGATAATACCCATTTATGAAAGAAAAGAGTGATTAAAAAAATGATCCTGGAAAAAAAGTAACTGGAGGTGGGGAGCTACTTAGATGCTGTGATCAAAGAAAGCCAATCTTAGAGGAGATACATTAGCTGAAACCTAAATGTTGACGAGCCAGACATGCTAATATCTTAAAGAATTTTCCAGACAAAAGGAAGAATTAAGAAAAAAGAAGGTCAATGTAGCTAAAATAAAATGAACAACAGGGTTTGTAGTAAGAAAGTCAGAGAAGAAAAAAAAAAGAGAAGTAGGCAGGCTGTAGATCCTTCAGGTATTTCTAGGCTATCGTTAAGTAAGATATTCTAAAAGCAACGTAAAACAACTGAGCTTTAAGCTGGGGAACAAAAATTCTGATCTGTGCTCTTAAAAGATCATACTAACTGCTGTGTGAAGAACAGATTACAAAGGAATAAAAGATAAAACAGAAAAACACTGATAAATTCAATTACATCAAAATTAAGAACTTTCCTTTAAAGACAACATTAAGTAAAAATAAAAGCTACAGAGTACACATAAAACCAACAAAGAATTCTAAAAATATAAAGACAAGAAGAAAAACACAACACAAATTATAAAATAGAAAAAATACTTGGGAAAAAAAAGAAAAAATACTTGGAAAATACTTTACAAAAGAAGCATGGATGAAAATTTCAGATAACTTCATTAGTAATCAAAGGAAATACAAGTTAAACTTACAATGAGACATCATTTCACTAATAACTATCCTACTTTTATAATAATCACTCCCTTGCTTTTCTTTAAATTTTATGAGCTTTGAACATTTTTTTTTTCTATTTTGGAACTTTTTATAAATGGAATCTTACTGCTTATATTCTGTAAGTTGCTTCATTTGTTCAACATTATAGTTTTGGGATTCATCTATATTAATTACATGTAGTTAATACATTTGCACTGCTATACCATCACTTGGGTATGCCACAGTATGTTTAACCATTCTACTGCTAACAGACATTTGGGTGCTCTCCTTCCTTCCCCATTACCCTGTCCCTCTTCTTCCTCTCTTTTGTCTTCTTCTCTTTCTTTTTTTGCTACTTAACAACAGTGATCCAAACAAACTTGTATATGTCTCAAAGTATACATGTAGAATTTCTCTTGAATATATACTGCTCAGTTGTAAGATACATACATGCTCGACTTTATATAATAAAATCAATGCAAGAAAAAAACTAAAAAATATGTAGGAGATAGGTTACAAGGCCATCATAATACTCTAGGAAATAAATGATTATCTGAATCGAGGGACTCACAGCACAGGCAGTGAGAAGTGATCAGATGTGGGATATATTTTGGAACTACAATGACAACAAGAATCAACGATGATCTTTAAGTCTCTGCCTGAGCAAAATGTTCAGTTAATCAAGCTATCTTTAAGAACAGAGAAGACTGGGTGGTCTTCCAGTTACTAGGTGAATTTATTAACCTTTGAAAAATACTTCAGAAGATCATTGTTCTTATAAAGCTAATGGAAATAAAAATATTTTTTCTTTACCTTTTGCTTTCTCCTCTCCTGCTTAATCAGAACCCTGGTACTAAAAAAGGAAACAAGACAAAAGATATAGTGATTAAAGAAATAGTCTATAAAATGATTGCCATTTTAGCCGAACTGAAGACTTGAAATTAAAATCTAAAAGTGAAGTAAAAATTATATTATATTATTTATTATTTTATTATTTTTATTTATTATTATATTATTTCTGAAGAGAAACTATGAGAATGTTCTTATTTATAGTATATACTATTTCACAAAATTGTCTTAGAAAAATCCAAGAAGTAGTAAAAAAGACTCTATTACAATTAATAATAAAGCACAGAATAAACCTGGATTATATAATCAATATAAGCAAAAAGAAAGGAACGCACTGGAAAAGATTAGCTCTGAAACATTCTCATCTATAGCAATATGCTTGGTCTCATCTGATAGCTATTCTCTTGCCTTTCGTTGTATTTCAGTATTCTACTAAAATCAAGAGGGAATAGAGAGAAGATCAAAATCTACTTGGATCTAAAGAAATGTTAAGTTTATTATTAGAGCAACTCCAGTGATAGTAATGTATCAGCTATGTGTACTCAAAATCTCATAACTCCTTTAGAATAGCTAGTCATTATGGATGTGCCTTATAGCATCTTTGTGCTAAACAATGCACTGCATTCCAATGACAGTACAGTATTAGTTATAAAATATTTGCTCTATTAGTAATAATGGAATGCTATAAAACATTCATAATAAGATTTTCACAATATAGCTGTTGGATATACATGAAACTATAGTCTCAAATTCAAGATTTGTTCAAGAATTATAAGATAATAAAATGTATCTTAGCTATATGAGATTATATAACAACATGAAAATAAAAACTGCTATGTATCTTGCAACCCCTAAATACTTTGAATACTTAATATGTATAAATTCATTTTATCATCACAGCAACTCCGTATGTAAGATCTATTTTTAACCCCATTTTACTGATGGTGAAACTAAGACACAGAGAGGTTAAGTAACTTGCCCACAGTCACACTGATAAGTGTAAAACTGAGATTCAAATCCAAGAACTATGATTTTAAAGTTTAACCAGTGCAACACACTACTTACCAAGTATGTCAACTGTGAATACACAAAGCTGTTCATTTTTCCAAATGAAATTTTTCCAAATTTTCATAAACTACATGAATAACTGTTACTGAATACCCTCATACTTTGCCACTTATTTTTTTTTTAAGATTTTATTTATTTATTCATGAAAGACAGAGAAGGGGGGCGGGCAGAGGGAGAAGCAGGCTCCAAGCAGGGAGCCTGATGTGGGACTCGATCCCGGGTCTCCAGGACCACGTCCTGGGCTGAAGGCGGCGTTAAACCACTGAGCAACCGGGCTGCCCATTTTGCCACTTATTGAACTTGTTCTTTTACATATTTCCCAAAAGCTATGTCCCAATTGACCATTTTGAACTCATTGAACAAAGAATCCAATCTATTCTGTTCTGTGCAGCGTCATAAGTGTACTGTTGGCATTCAAATTTTAGAAAAGAAAAGGAAATAAATTACATTTCATTGACCCCTCAAATGCTAAGGCTGGAAAGGGCCTCAGAGATTAATTTATTCTCCATCTTTTAAAATTTACAAAAACTTGCACAGGGAGCGAAGTGACTTTTCAAAGTTCAGAAATACAAGACGTATAACAAAGCCAGCAATATTAAGTATTTCAGTTTATAAACAGAAAATAAGAAGAAATATCAATTCTATGTGCAGTTTCCACATTATAAAGATCAGCAGAACTAGAGACAACTGAAAGTTTAAATACAGTCTTTATATATGTAAATAGCAAGTGTTTTTATTCCAGGCCTATTTTCCATTATGCAAAATACTCTGACAGCTCTCACCAAATTCTTTGTACTACATAATCTCCATCAATATGTGCCTAAGAAAAGTCAACTAAGAACTCAAGACCAGCTGCTAGATCAGCCTACTAATAACTAAACCATAATGAAAGTGAAAAAGGATCCTGATGTAAAAGTCAAAGGTAATTTCTTAAATAGAACACTTTAGATTGTTATTAAGGCAACCAATGGTACTAACAGTGTCTCTTAATTAGCTGCACTAAACAAAAACATTGCATCAATTAGGATTCTTAGTTATAAGAAACTGAAAGTACCTCTGGTTAATTTAAACAGAAAATAAATGTATTAAAACGAAACTGGGTAGGGATGCCTGGATGGCTCAGTCGATTAGGTGTCTACCTTCAGCTCAGGTCATGATCTCAAGGTCTTGGGATTGAGCCCCGCATTGACTCCTTGCTCAGTGGAGAGTCTGCTTCTCCCTCTCTCTCAAATAAATAATAAAATCTTAAAAAATATATTTTTAATAAATAGAGAGAAACTGGGTAGCCAAGAGACCTTCCAAGAAGGCTGAGAAAGCAGATTTGGCAACCAGCAAGAAACAAGATAGTCTGGGCTGTGAGATCACAGGCAAAACCATGCCATAATTATTTTCAATAAGGACATCACTGCTGACACAGGTGAACACTGGACACCACTGATTGTACTGCTGTCACAAGAAAATGCAAGTTCTGGGATCCCTGGGTGGCGGAGCGGTTTGGCACCTGCCTTTGGCCCAGGGCGCGATCCTGGAGACCCGGGATCGAATCCCACGTCGGGCTCCCAGAGCATGGAGCCTGCTTCTCCCTCTGCCTGTGTCTCTGCCTCTCTCTCTCTCTCTCTCTCTCTGTGTGTGTGACTATCATAAATAAATAAAAATTAAAAAAAAAAAAGAAAGAAAATGCAAGTTCTGTTGTCCTTCTCTTAAAAGGCCCAAACTTAAGAGATGAGTTTTAATTGGAAAGGAAATTGAGCTTTATTCAGAAGGCTGGCCACCTGGGAAGAAGGTAGATTCCTGTGCAAAAACCAACTCTGAGGTTTCTCTGCCTGGCCCAAAGATTCCCCTCCCACACCCCCCAAGATTTTTAAAGGAACTTTAGGGCAGTTATCACTAAAAGGGGAAACCCACAACTACATGGTCAATTACTCTTCAACAAAGCAGGAAAGAATACCCAATTGAAAAAAGACAGTCTCTTCAACTAATGGTGTTGGGAAAACTGGATGGCAATAGGCAAAAGAAAGTGGGGAAGCCTGAGCCATGCTCAGTCAGTGGAGCATGCAACTCACTTTTATCTCAGGGTTGTGAGTTTAAGCTCCATGTTGGGTGTGGAGCCTACTTAAAACACACACACACACACACAAATTAAACTGGACCACTTTCTTATACACAAAAATAAATTCAAAATGGATACAAGACCTAAATGTGAGTCCAAAAACCATTAAAATCCTAGAAAAGAACACACACAGTAACCTCTTCTGACATCAGCCATAGCAACTTCTTACTAGATATGTCTCCAGAGACAAGGGAAACAAAAGTAAAAATAAACTATTGGAATTTCGTCAAAATAAAAAGCTTCTGCAGAGCAAAGGAAACAATCAACAGATCTAAAAGGCAACCTACAGGATGGGAGAAGATATTTGCAAATGACATATCTGATAAAGGGTTAGCATCTAAAATGTAGAAAGAACTCATCAAACTCACACTCAAAAACAAACCAGTTAAAAAATGGGCAGAAGACATGAAAACAGTTTTCCAAAGACGACATCCAGATGGCTAACAGAGAAGATGCTCAACATCATTCATCAGACAAATGCAAATTAAAACTACAGTGAGACATCACCTCACACCTGTCAGAACAGCTAAATTAACAATACAGTAAACAACAGGTGTTGGTGAGGATGCAAAGAAAAGGGAACCCTCTTATGCTGTTGGTGGAAATGCAAACCGGTACAGAAGAAAATAATATGGATGTTATTTAAAAAGTTAAAAATAGAACTACCCTATGATACAGCAATTGTATCACTAGGTATTTACCCAAAGAATACAAAAGTACTAACTCAAGGGATACATGCACCTGGTGTTTACAGCCAACATTATCATTGGCATTATCAATAATAGCCAAATTATGGAAAGAGCCCAAATGTCTATGAACTGATGGATAAAGATGATGTGGTATGTACACACACATGCATTGGAGTACTGGCCATCAAAAAGAATTAAATCTTGCCATTTGCAATAGTGTGGATGGCGCTAGATAGTCTGATGCTAAGCAAAATAAATCAGTCAGGGAAAGAGAAATACCATATCAATTTCACTTATATTTGGAATTTAAGAAACAAAACAATGATCACAGGGGAAAAAGAGAAGAAAACCAAGAAACCAACTATAGAAAACAAACTGATGATTACCAGAGGGAAAGTGGGTGGGAGAACTGGTTAAACAGATGATGGGAGATTAAGGACTATACTTGGTGAGGAGCAATGGGTGTTTTATAGAAGTGTGGAATGACTATACTTATACTGTACATTCTTTCTGGTAAACAATGCATGATCTATAGATATGCAAAGAAAGGTTTGGCTAACCAATCACATGGACTAAAGGTGCTTGCTAACATTTGAAGACTCCTAAATAGGCCAGAAAGGCTGAGGTGGCAGCTTCACCATCTCCACTCCTGGACAGTAAAATATCTCCTCTGGCATCATTGTCATTACTGTCCCTGAAAATTCCCCTGTAAGCTTCTACAACTGCTTGCAACTACAATAGATGCTCTGTATTCTCTCTCTGGATCACTAACTGCTGATTCAAAGTACAGGACAAGTGCATCAAAGTCTGGGCTTACATCATATGCCCATCCCTAGCTGCAAAACCGACTGAAACATGTATCTGGGTTTTGTTGTGTTTTTTGTGTTGGATTTTTTTGTGGGCTCTGCCACCTTGTAGAGAGGAAGGTGGCCTGTACCTAACACCAATACTCATATAAGGTGGGAAATATCTCCCACACAGAAAAGGGGCTCAGATGCTGAGCTGCCAAAGAGTACAAATATCTACGTGAAAGATGTTATACAATAAAATTAAAATACTTGATGATCCAAAAGTAAGTTTTTATTTGGCATGTCAAATATGTGTGTGTCTGTGTATTCCTAATAGTTGTTTCTAATGGTTTTGTGTAGGGGAGTATTAAAATAAGACAGCAATGTTCTTTGTTGTTGTTGTTCCACAAGGATTGAGTCAGATGGTAATATAGAAGGCTCCTGAGGCCCCTCTTCCCATAGCTAAGCATATGTACAGCTACATTTGCAGCATTTCCTCTGAAAGAGATCCAGAAACTAGTTGAGTGACTCCTACATAGGGAAAACACCCACACTGAAACAAGTAGCAAAGGCTAAGACACTCTTAGCATAAACACATTCCCCTCCTCCTTAGCAACAGTGCCATAGAGTTGGGAGGGAACTCTCAGCTCATAGTTTTGACCTGAGGAAGTTTGTACTGCATATCCAGCACTCCCAATTTTCAGGGCCCTCACCAGACAAACAAGTTCCCAAAAGCATAGTGCTGAAAGCCAACAGGGCCTGCGTCCAGGAGACCCACAAGACTGTAGCAAACAAACAGCAATTCTTAACGGGCGTGCAGCACTCATCACAGCTATCCTGTGGGGGGTAAATCATCTATCTCCCGGCCCTTCCCTGAAAAAGATTTATCTGTATATTTTAAAAGTTTCTTCCTGAGATCCAGGCTTATAATTCCAGCAGACATTAGAGGCTGGCTGCAAACCTCTTCAGAAAGTAAAAAAATCCAGAGGACACTTCTCCTGCCTTTTTTTCCAAGCCACTCCAACACATCAGTATCTCTGTAGAAAGAGATGGTATCCCCCAGCTATTATAGCTGCCGCCCAAAGAACAGGTCACTGGGGATCCCTGGGTGGCGCAGCAGTTTGGCGCCTGCCTTTGGCCCAGGGTGCGATCTTGGGGACCCGGGATCGAATCCCACATCAGGCTCCCAGTCATGGAGCCTGCTTCTCCCTCTGCCTGTGTCTCTGCCTCTCTCTCTCTCTCTCTGTGACTATCATAAATAAATAAAAATTAAAAAAAAAAAAAAAGAACAGGTCACTGGATGCCCTGGTACTGACAGCCAAAGGGGCTTCCATTCAAGAAACCAGGACTTTAGTAAACAAAGAAACAATTCTTAACTGCCTGTCATCGCAGGGCTAAGCAACTAGGGACAAGGCAAACTCTTTTTTTTAATAAAATACTTTTTTTTTTTTTTAAGATTTTACTTATTTATTCATGAGAAAAACAGAGAGAGAGGCAGAGGGAAAAGCAGGCTCCATGGAGGAAGCCTGACGTGGGGCTCTATCCCAGGTCTCCAGGATCATGCCCTGGGCTGAAGGTAGCACTAAACTGCTGAGCCACCCGGGCTGCCCCAGGCAAAATCTCTTTTTTTCCCCCCAGGCAAAATCTCTTAAACCCATTAGTTCCTTGCAAAAAGGTTTATCTGCTTACCTTAAAAGATACTGCCTTAGGGCAAGGCATCTAATCTAGCAGGCATCAACAGGCTGGCTGTGATCTTCTCCAGACCAGGGAAGACTGCAGACATCTCTCAGGCCTTCTGTGCTCCAGCCCACTCCAATAAAACCGAATCACCAGTATCTCCCTGGAAGGAGATTGTGCTGCATATTTAGCGCCTCAACCTTTTGGACAGCCACCCAAAGAACAAGTCTCCAGATCACCTGGTTCTAATAGCAAATGGGCTTGCATTCATGAGTCCCACAGAAATGTAGCAAACAAAGAAATAGTTCTTACCGGGCACACATAACCCCAAGGCTACACATGGGAGTCTAGCACAGAGGGAGCAGACAAAAAAAAAAGCTCATCTCCCAGTTTCTTCCCAGAAGGGGCTTAAATTAAATATATAAATAGTTGCAGCCTGAGGGTTAGTAACCAGGTGCTCACTGCTATCCTACCCATTGGGACACTGACAGGTCTTGGCATACCATCTATACTAAGAAATATTAAGTACAAAGAAGACTTGGACAATCACAGAAGTCTGAGAGACAACTAGGAGGTAGGGCCTGGCTGATCAATGAGATTCATTTCCTTCACAAGACCATTCTGTCAGAACTGGGAGAAGAGGGAAATTCAGGGAAGATCAAGGAGTAGGAAGATCCTGACCTTACTTTTTCCCACAGACACTGTAAGGCAACAGATATATGAAATGCAAGTGTCACTCTGAAAATGACTTAAAGACTAGCAGAACACATCCTCCACAGCTAATGACATAAAGCAGCAGCCACCCTGAGAAGGATAGCAGGAACAGAGATATAGTAAAGAATGAAACCCTCTGGTGATACAACTTACAAATAGGAAGGATATCACAGGGATGGAGGTCCTCATGAGGAGCAAGGCATTCAATCTCCATATCAATCACCCCCAGCCCTGGGAACTTGAACCAGAAGACAAGCCCTCACAATGTCAGGATTTCAAAGTTAGTGGGGCTTAACTCCAGAAAAGCCAGAGGGCTATAGAGAACTGACAGTCCACCCTTATAGAACCAGCAATGCTATACCACTTGATCCAAGACCCAGTACAAAAATAGCAGATTGAAAAGCACCAGGATTATAAATAAAGGAAGATTTATTGACTAATTTTAGGGCATGTGCCAGATGGGCAGGGATCTGCAGAAGCTTTCTCTGGGAATGGAAATGCTGACACAATTTTTCTTGCCCTCCCTTCAACCTAGCTGGCCAGATACTTGTGAGAGCCAGTTCTGACACTATGTACTTCACTAGCACTGCTGTCCTGCCCTGACATTCCCTTGTGATTATGCACTACCTAACCCACCTGCCCCAACAGGCACCCCTCCAAAGCAGCTCCACCCCGCCACATGCAGCAGGCAGCCCTAGCCCAGACCACCGCCACTCCAAAGCAGCTCCTGCCCCAGAGAAGGGGAAGTCAAGTCAAGCCACCAGCATGCCCACAGGAGTCGCAGGTGGACCTCTCAGGCCACCATGCCAGGAGCCAGCCCTGCCCACCAGTGCATCCATAGTAGTCAGGGCCAGTCATTGCAGAGAGTGGGGCTGAGGGCCAGGCCCAACTACCAGGGAACCCACAGCAATCACAGCCCAAACACAAAAGGAAGGTACATGCAGCCCACAAAGGGGATACTGCTAGAGTGCCTGGTTCTTATGACCAAAGGCAAATGCACTACTGGGCCCGACAGGATCCTTCTACATAAGACCGCTACTTTCAAAACCAGGAACTGACCTAATGCACCAAAAACAATACAGAAGAAATGAAAAGACAAAGGAATATGTTCCAAACAAAAAAACAAAACAAAACCACAGAAAACTAAACAAAACAGAGATAAGCCACCTACCTGACAAAGATTTCAAACTAATAGTCAAAGAGATGTTAACTGAACTTGAGAGAAGAATGGATGAACTTCAACAAAGAGAAAATATAAAAAGGAACCATCAGAACTGAAAAATAACTAAAATGAAAAATACACCACAGGGAATCAACAACAGATTAGAGAATGCAGAAGAATAGACAGCAATCTGGAAGACAAGGTAGTAGAAAGCAAGCACAAAACAAAAAAGGACAAAAAAATTTAATAATGATAGCTTAAGGGATCTCTGGAATAATATCAAAAATAATAACACTGATATTATAAAGGTTCCAGAGAAGATGAAAGAGACAGAATGAGGCATGAAACTTATTTAAAGACATAATAGCTGAAAACTTGCCTAACTTGGGGAAGGAAATAAACATCCAGGTCCAGGAGGCAAAGAAAGCTACAAACAAAATGAACCCAGGGAGGTCCACACCAAGAAATATAATTAAAATGTCAAAAAGTAAAGATAAAGAGAGAATCTTAAATGAAGTAAGAGAAAAGCAAATAGTTACATACAAGAGAAATCACATAAAACTATCTGCTGATTTTTCAGGAGAAACATTGTAGGCCAGAAGTAAGAACGTGACATATTCAAAGTGCTAAAGGGAGAAAACTTAAAACTCAGAATAATTTACCCTGCAAGACATCACTCAGAATTGAAAGAGAAACATTGGAGAAATATTGTAGGCCAGAAGTAAGTACGTGACATATTCAAAGTGCTAAAGGGAGAAAACTTAAAACTCAGAATAATTTACCCTGCAAGACTATCACTCAGAATTGAAAGAGAATGAGTTCCCTTTTTTTTTTTGAGAATGAGTTTCCTAAATTAAAAAAAAAAAAAAAAAGGAGATCATCACCACTAAACCACACTTACAAAAAATATTAAAGGGACTTCTTCAAGTGGAAAAGAAAAAGCCATAACAAAGAAAAAAAATAATGAAGGGAAAAAAATTCACTGACCAAAGACAAGACACTAGATCAATCACTATAAAGCTGATATGAAAGTCAAAAAACAAAAGCAATACAATCAATTATATCTACATATTAGGAGGCATATAAAACATGTAAAATATGAAAAAACAGATCTTTATGAAAAAATATACATAAAACATGGAGAAAGCAGTAAATGTGTTTTATGAATGTGTTCTAACTTAAGTCACACCCAAATTAATATAGACTACTATATACCAAATGAACCTCCTGGTAACCACAAACTAAAAACCTATAATAGACACACAAAGAACAAAGAAAAAGAAATACAAACACCACTGGGAAAGTTGTCAAATCACAAGGGAAGATAGCAAGAAAAGAATGTAAAAGAACTACAAAAAAAAATAAAATAAAGAATAAAATGGCATAAGTACACACCAACCAATAATCACTTTAAGTGTAAATGGACTAAATGCTCTAATAAAAAGAAAATATGCTGCCTGAATATATTAAAAACCATCTCTATACTGCTTACAAAAGACCTCCTTCAAACCTAAAGACACATACAGACTGAAAAAGAAGAGATAAAAATAGATATTACATGCAAATGGAAGCAAACAAAAAGCTGAGGCTGCAATACTTAAGACAAAATAGACTTTAAAACAAAGACAAATAACTAACAAGACACAAAGACACAGTAACAAGACACATTACATAATGATATAGGTAGGAATCAATCAAAAATATAACAATTGTTAAGTATCTGTGCACGCAGCATAGGAGCATCTGAATTCATAAAAGCAAATATTAACAGACACAAAGGGAGAAAGTAACAGTAACAAGGGAGATATACAATAATAGTAGAGGAGTTTAACACCTCATTTATATCAATGGAGGATTATCCAGACAGAAAATCAATAAGGAAACAGTGAATCTAAACAACACATTAGACCACATGGACTTAACAGAAATATACAAAATATTTCAAAATAGCAGATTACACATTCTGTTCAAGTGCACATGGAATGTGCAATTTGAGCAATATGAAACTAGAAATGAATACAAGATAAAAATCTTGGGGAAAAAATACATATGTGGAGGCTAAACATCATGCTATTAAACAATGAGTGGATCAAGAAGAAATCAAAGAGGAAACCAAAAATTATCTGGAAAGAAACGAAAATGGAAACACAACAGTTCAAATTCTATGGTACACATCAAAGGCAGTTCTAAGACAAAATTTTATACCAATATAGGTCTACTCAAGAAACAAGAAAAATCTCAAAAAAAAAAATATAACTTTTTACCTAAAGGAACCAGAAAAAAGAACAAAGCCGGAACTTAGCAGAAGAAAAGGACTAATAAAGCTTAAAATAGAAAGAAGTAACATAGAAACCATAAAAAAGGGAAAAAAAATCAACCAAAAAGTGAAAAGCAATAAAGAAAAACCAAAAAAAAAAAAAACTTAAACTAGATTTGTTAAGAAAAGAAGAAAAGTGAAAAAAGAATGGGGCTCAGAAAAATAAATAAAACCAGGAATGAAAAAGTAACAACTGATACTACAGAAATGCAGAGGATTATAAGAGACCACTACAAAAAATTATATGGCAACAAATTAAAAACCTAGAAGAAATGAATAAATGCCTAGAAACATACAACAATCTTCCAAGACTAAACAGGAAGAAATAGAAATTCTGAACAGACCATTACTAGCAACAAAATTAAATGGGTAATCACAAAACTCAACAAAAGTCCAGGACAAGATGGTTTCACAGGTGAATTCTACCCAACACTTTAGTAAGACTTAATACTCATCCTTTCATCCTTTTCAAACTATTCCAAAAAAAAAAAAAAGAGGACAGAATGCCTCCAATTTCGTTCTATGAGGCCAATATTACTCTGACACCAAAAAAACTTTTAAAAATTCGTTAAAAGAATCATTCATTCAACAAGAGCAACTGCATTTTATCTCAGGGATGCAAAGACAGTTCAATATACACAGATTAACATGATACATCACATTAACAAAAGATAAAAATTATGTGATTATCTCAACAGATGGAGAAAAAAACTGACAAAATTCAACATCCTTTCATCATAAAAACTCACAACAAAGTGGATATATCTCAACATAATAAAGGCCATATATGACAAACCCACAGCTACCAACATAGTCAATGGTGAAAATCTGAAAGCTATTTTCTAAAATCAAGAACAAGACAAGGGTATCCACTTTTATTCAAACAAGTATTGGAAATCCTGGCTGTGGTAATCAGACAAGAAAGATATCCAAATTGGTAAGGAAGAACTCAAACTATCACTATTTGCAGATGACAACTGCATTCAAAAAAATAAAACAGAGGCACCTGCGTGGCTCAGTCAGTTAAGTATCTCTTAATTTGGGCTTAGGTCATGATCTCATGGGTCACGAGATCTAGCCCCATGTTGGGTTCTACCCTCAGTAGGGAATCTGCTTCTCTCTCTCTCCCTGCTGGCAGTCTCTAATAAACAAAACATAAAAAACAAACAACAAAAAAAACTAAGAATAAATTTAACCAAAGAGGTTGAAGACTTGTACTCTGAAAACTATTAAGACTTTGATGAAAGAAATTGAAGACAAAACAAATAGAAAAATACTCTGTGCTCATGAATTGGAAGAATTCGTATTCTAAAAATGTCCTTACTACCAAAGGACAAAACAACCTATAGATTCAATGCAAACTCTACCAAAATGCCAACTATATTTTTCATACAAATAGAACAAATAATCCTAAAATTTTTATAGGACCACAAAAGACACTGAATAGCCAAAGCAATGTTGAGTAAGGAGAACGAAGCTGAAGGCATCATAATGATTTCAAAGTTTACTACAAAGCTATAGTAATCAAAACAATATGGTATTGATACAAAAATACATCACAGAACCAAATAGCCCAGAAAAAAACTTAATTTTTATATGGTCAACTAATCTATGACAAAGGAGGCAAAAGTATACAATAGGAAAAAGACAGCCAAAGACAGTTACTACATTATGATAAAGGGAACAATTGGGGATCCCTGGGTGGCGCAGTGGTTTAGCGCCTGCCTTTGGCCCAGGGCGTGATCCTGGAGACCCGGGATCGAATCCCACGTCGGGCTCCTGGTGCATGGAGCCTGCTTCTCCCTCTGCCTGTGTCTCTGCCTCTCTCTCTCTCACTGTGTGCCTATCATAAATAAATAAAAATTAAAAAAAAATTTAAAAAAATAAAAAAAATAAAGATAAAAGGGAACAATTAATAGGATATTACATTTGTAAACATTTATGCACCCAACACTGGAGCACCTAATTATATAAAGCAAATATAAACAGAGCTGAAGCAAGAAGCAGCAATACGGTAATAGCATGAGACTTCAATATCCCACAGTCAACAAAAGATTGATCATTATGATATTCTGATATATAACAAGAAAAACATGCTTGGTCTTCATCCTCAATCCGGCACAGCTCTTGAAACCCTTGGAATTTCTTAATGAGAGGAAAAAAAGCAGGGGGTGGGGGGGTGGGGGGAGGGAGTGGGGGTGTCTTTTGTTATGTTAATGAAGTAGTTTCCAAAACACACCTGATGGGAACTAGCTGCCAGGAGAACCAACCAACCATGTGTTCAGAAGGTTGAAACTTTCAGTCCTATCCCCTTAACCTCCTGGAAGGAGAGAGGAACTAGAGATTGAATCAATCAATAA